ATGCCAGGGTGTGCATGCTGATTTGTCGGCTTACTGAATCTGTAGCCCTGCTCAGTGAGAGGATTTTAGATGTGCACTGCAGTCCTTCAGCGCTGAAGGCATCGTCAGACAAAGCTGCTCAACAAACGTTCAAACCACTGACTTTGAATATAGTCTGGACTTTACAAAGACATCTGCCTATTTACAGTCAAGACAATGTCTGTTTTTATGGCGATGAGGAAGCATACACGTAAATGATGATAAATCAGGTTTTATAACTTGTATATTCAAACCAGGTGTCATTTTGGAGTATATGAGATGGTGAGAACATATCTGATACTGACAGTGTCATGCTGCCTTGTTGGCTTCATATGTTAAAAGACTAACACAGAAAATGTCCATAAATTGTGCATGAAGAGTGATGAGTAGGACTGTCAGAGTGATTTAACGCTGGTCTCAATTTTTTTCTTGCTTCTCAAGTGAAGAGGAAGAGTTTTCTTTACATCGAACTGAAGACCTGGTGATGTGGTTGAATCTGTCAAGTGCAGAAGAAGCCCTATAAATTATTTTGTTCCACACAAAAATGTATTTATGAATGAGTAACAAGTGGGTTTAGTGTAGTAGTTTGATTTTTGATACAGTGACAGTATCCTCAGGCGTGAATTTCTTTAGAATCCAACACTTTTCAGCTCATACGTGTTAGATTTTAAACTCTGAAGCGATTGAACATTATGCATTTGCTTATGCACACAAGCAGGCTGTGTTATGGATGTCATATTTCTTATAAGCAGCATCTGCTACACAATACCTGGCAATGTATCACACCACAACACTACAAGCATGTGTAATGATGCGACATACACGAGCTAAACTGATGATGAACAGGAAGTATTAAGATTGTGAAAACACGGAGTGCACACATTTTCTCAAAGTAACAGAACATTCTTCATACAAAAGAAGCCAAAACTCAGAGTTGATACATTAAAACATGTTTAAAACACGAGTGGAACTCACACAGTTTTGTACGCGAGTTTGTGAACCATCTCAAAACTTTAAGTTTTTTATTTTTACTGCAGCTACAAAATATAAAAATGCCAACTTCTTACAGAGAAACCCCATAAATACAGTAAATTAACATATGTTGTGTAAAATTCATCTTGCACATATTTCCCATGTAATTTTTTTTAACAATTCCAACAGGTTTCATGTGATCGCACGTGAAAAACATGCTAAATTCATGAGGTTACTTGGCTTTTATGTCTTGTTGGAAAAAGTCAGCTCAGATAAACAGCCTTTGATCATTTCCCATTCATTTTACTCCTAAATAAGTGAGAAATGATGCAACAGTCGTATGAAACTCCAAATATTTCTGGGCTTTGCTAAGAGACCTCAAAACTGTTTTAAGATCCTGACAACACCAGAGCCAGAGTTTTAACTTGTTGCCTAGGAACAGTATATGATGAGAATCCAGGAAGTCTCAGAAATAAACAGTTTAAGAAACAAAATGCACTTTTTAAATGTTTCTCCTTTTGTCTCTATGTTTGTAGCATTTGTAAAATATCTCAACAGGATGCACTCAAAAGGTTTTAAGGAAACCCAGTCATTGATTGCACATCACCACTTGCTCTTGCCAAGGTCGGACGCTTTTCCCCTCCTCTCCCTCTCCGCTTTGCTGCTCTGTTTGTGAAACTGCTTCTGAGCCTCTCTTGCATATCTTCCGAACCATAATTATGGACTTGTTTTGATCAGTTGGTCCCTCATCACAATTGATAACATTTCTATGAAGAGAAAACAGGCTTTAGGCGAGCCAATTTGTCCTGTTGGCACGCACACAGCTGGATATCTCATCGACTTGAAGGCTTGATGATGTGTCTATCTCTGCTGCCATTTGTGGATTTTAAGGACGCATATATAATTGGATTTACGATAACTGGTTCCTGCTTTTTGGATTCGGCTGGTTGCTGGTTTTATCAATCAATCAAGGAAGTCTTTGGCAGCAAATTTGGACCCGATCACACTGCTTGTCTTTATGATGGCTTGGTTCGTGCCTCGAGTACCCAGACTCAAATGCGTTTGGCAGAATGGATCAAATTTCGGTGATTATACTCAGGCACGTTTCCATCAGTGTGGCCATGTAATTTGGACATTTCAGAACCGAGTCGACCAACACAGACTCAAGGTAGATGTCATTAAGTTCTGGCTGTCCCCTAAACAACGGTGTGTTTTTCTGAAATTGGCTCGTCTGGAAATCATATAATCTGATGCCCCCACCCCCCGCCCCACCCCCACCCCCATCGAGGAATTTCCAACTGATCAACCAGAGAAAACCAGCTGAATAAACATTGTTTCGTCATTTCAGGACTCTTGGATTCCCATAGGCGTTGTCCTTGGCCATTTTCAGACTTCTCTCGAGAATGTTTACGGATCTCATCGGAGGGAACTGGTTGATTATTCCATCCTTATCAGGACACTTACAGTGTCCTCGATAGCGTCCATGGACACTGCTCACCGCTCTCGTTGTCTTCCCCCCTCTGCGGAATGTCTACGTCACTGTGCTTGTTTGGGCAAGGTGTTTTCTAATTTTTTTTTTATATTAGTTTTTTTCTCTGTCAAGAAGAAAGAGTAAGTTTTTTTGCCTCCAATTCTTACATGTGTCCAATTTCATTACATTTTTGTCTGTCGCAACAGATCTCACTTTTAATGAGTTTTCTAGGCTCAGTGTGACGTTTCTGTCTAAATAAAGGTTGAATGAATGAATGAAAACATCTACAAATCATTAACTTATAAAATAGCTGCAACAGCTAATAGACATTAGCTATAATTCTACTAATTTCACAGACCTTGACCTAGGATTTGGTGTTGTAACAGCTGAGAGTCATCCACAACACACACTCTGAGCACCTGTTGCTTAAAACTTGGGCATTAACTTTTAGTGTTGAACTGCCTGTTAGTAAAATATGTCACAAACCACTAGAGAAATTTTCGTGAAGCTCTCGGGAAGAAATGATTGACTGTACATCTAAAACTCATTACCAGTCAGAGTCATCTAAATTCAAGATGAATGCCACAGCTAATTGACATTAGCTATTAGTTATAAGACATTAGCTATATGGGATTAACCTGTATAAATAAAGGTTGAATGAATAAGCCAACCAATTTTACAGATACAATAGTCCCTCGATTATCGCGGTGGTTACGTTCCATACACCACTGCAACAGGTGAAAAACTGCAAAGTAGGAATGCAATATATCTTTTAGTATTTATATATATTTTAAGTCTTTATAAACCCTTCCCACACTCTTGCAATGTTCTTTACAATGTTCTAACCTATGTAATTTTAACAACATAAATATATGTACTGTACAGTACTGCAAAATTTTACTCACCAGCTCTGCAGAACAGCAGCTCTGTTCCGGTCGGGCTCGGTTCTGGTTCTGAAGACCTACCCTGCAGCGTTGAAGCCCACCGCCCCGTCCAGGTTGATGTGCACTTGGATAATTGAGCTTCAGGAATCTTCAGGATTATTTACTGTATGTTTTTTCTGCCAGTTCTGTGAGCTTAACAGATAGAACGTTACTTCTGACTTTACGTTGCAAAACTATCCCTCAATTTTGGCTAGAGCTGTCATTTATAACCCGAACCCGGAGCCCGGCCTCGCCCGACCCGGATTAGGGCTGGGCCGGTCCATAATAATGTGCTTAATGTGCGGGCCGGTTTGGTGTCGTGCTTTTGATTGTGTCAGAGGACGCACTTGGCTGACTATCCAAATATATGGCAACATGGCTCGCCGTTCACCAGCCGCACGCGGCCATTTCACCGCGCACTGACCGGCCTTGAAAGAGGTAAAAAGTTCAGTTACGCTTCAGATGGACTACTGCCAGCGATCCATCGCCCAAATAGACGTTCATTCAGCCGCTGCACTCAGCAGACACACGTGGCCGACGACCCAAACAGGTGAGATCACAAAATATCCGACAGGTCAGAGCTGGGTTAGATTTTTGGACCCGAATGCAACTCTAATTATGGCAGAAAGCAGCGGCCGTAAGCACTGTTGGCTTCTGGGTATTGTAGTTCTTTTGACCTGCATTACTGTGTAGGCTTATTGAAGAAAAACTACAAAATGTCAGAAGTTTTTGTTGTTAACTTTTCATCCCGTACCGTCCCAATCACATGAGTAATATTAAAGTTGACAGTCGTGTGTTGTGTAACATTGAAAAACCGAGAAAGAGTTTGTCCGCGAAAGTCGAACTGCGAAGTACTGAGCCAAAATTTGGTGTGGTAGTAGCTGAGAGTCATCCACAACACATAAGTACTGCAAGCACATACAATATTGTGAGATCACACACAACTTTATTTAGTTACACGATTTGATCAAAACAACTTTTAACTCTTTAAAAAGATGATTCTAATTAAAAATGTGGCGTTAAAGGCAGTGGGAGATATCCATTTCTTCAAGGAATGCTAGGCTTTTTTACTTTTATTGCTTTTTTTGTATGCATACAAAATCAATATGTATATAAATCAAACAAAAATGAAAAAGAGTATATCAGCAGATTTTTGGTCAGCGGGCATAGAGGCTTTAGAAACTGGATGTTTTACAGCAGAGCTAAACTTGTCTGCCAGTTAAAGATACGTGATATCAGCCACATCTTGAAAGCATTAGCGTCCACATGTGAAATTAAAATTTCGAAACGGACTTATTACAGCCCTCCAAGCACGTTTTGGTGCGAAGAAGTTGTCAGAGGTAAGCCCTGAAGGTGTGGAGGTGTGATAAGGCGGCCATTTTTAATGCAACCTCCAGGACTTTCTAACCTGGAAGAACTATCTGTGAATTTGTAGCAGAAATCACCGATAAGCTGCTTTTACACGAATAAAGCCCCTGAACGGGAGGAGGAGGAGGAGGCCCCCATCTGACTGAGACTTTAATTGCGCCCCCTCCTCTTCCTCCTCCTCCTCCTCCTCAGTCTCCTCCGCGCTAACTTCACTCGTGCTCAGTTTGTTGGACTGGATAGCAGCAAAGATGGCTTTCCTCCTGCGAAGAGCGGTTTTTCTGCTGTTTCTTCACGTCAGCCTGCTCACCTGGAGCGGTGAGTTAATTAAGCAGGTTTCTTTTGTGTGCTTTTCTTTCTTTCTTTCTTTCTTTCTTTTCGTTTTTATTTGAAAAGTTTTATTTCGCGCGGCGAGTTCAAACGCTCAGGATGCTCCCGACATGTTTTTGGAAACACCGCGGAGCTTTTCCGTCTTCGCGTGCCAATTTACGGTTAATTAGGCGAACCCCTCGGTCTCTTTTGAATTTATAGTTAAAAATTACTTATAAATGAATGAGTAAGCGGTCACTGGCTCGTGTTCCTTTGCCCGCTAGTTTTCCCGGGCCGAAGTTGTGCCGTCGTAAACTGGTGAAAGGTGCAATTAATTACTGCGTAATTGCTGCTGCCAATTAAAGGTGGCAACGAAACGTTAAAACAGGTGATCCTGAGCATCATATTAAATAGTGCAGTTTGAAGGTTTTAACTGTTCTCTATGTATATATATGTAATTTTAAAATGCAGGTACGCATGCAATGTAAACAAAGCATATTTAACTCAACCAATCTGAGCGAATCCCTCCTCGATTCCTTGGATATTACCATTGTTTACCTTTTTTTTCAGTCGCTTTTCCAGTTAAATTTTTTAAACGTATGCACACATCAGTATGGAAAAAATGTAAAAAAAAAAAAAAAGAAGAAGTTAGTTTTTACTTTGATTTTGTAATGCATACCTTTTTAACTTTGAGCTTGGCCCGATGTAAGTGAGTTTAAACGCACACACTGGTCTGTGATGGGTATTTCTAAAGGCTTGTGACATGTGCACCCTGGAGTCTGGATAAGTTTCTAAAGCTTTAATAGGCTTGTGGACATCTAAAGAACCACTTGATGTAAATCACAGGACCAACTTTTGAAGGGGCTCACTTAAAAACAGATTCAAACTGGTGATCATTTTAGTGATCTACGTGATGGGAGAGACTGTTTTTATCATCAGGGCAGTGATAAGTGTGTGTGTGTGTGTGTGCATGACTGTAGAACTCCTCCACCCCCGCAGTCTAGGAGTTTACCTTTTTATTTTTGTAAAGTCGAGGCTCATTTCCTCAGGGAGCTGCTGAGGTTCTGTAGCATTAACTAAAAAGAAATTCCTTTACTTAGGGCTGAAACTAATAATTTACTTTCTGGACCCAGGATTAAGCTATAAATAACCACATAAGAGACATTTATTCAGCAAAGTTTCTCACAGTTCAAGGTCACCTGCATGTGTGTTGCTTTGTCTGGGCTAACATCTAGGTATGCAAGGTATTTGCTTTGCAATTATCAAAATAGATAAAGGCGGTGCATCTCGACAGCGTAGGTAGGAGCTGGCAATCTTATTTATTCATACTATCTCATTTCCAAATTTATGAGCAGACAATGTAAAGTCGTGGATGGACTTAAGTGCCAATGCTGAATTTGGAATACTGGTTTGAAGTGCACATTTACTGATTTTATCTTTTAAAAACCAAATGGAACATGCATTTCTGCTTTTTTTTTTTTTTTTCTCACTTTTGGATTCTAGTGCAAGTTTACGATTTAAACCAGGGTTGGATAATTAGATGAACATGTTGTTGCCGTTGAATGTCTTTAAGTGATTGTATTTTGTTAGTTTTGTGCTATATTATTTCATTTCTTTTTAATATTTCATATCAGAAGAGTACAAAGGAGCAAGTTGTTCTGATGAGATTGCCTTCTTGTTGCCTGTCTTTAGAGGTTTAATGTGCATGGTCAGCTGGGCGGAGGCCTTGGGGTTGATCTGGGGCTCCCTGTAGGGATTATCTCTTCTAACTGACCGGGGGACGGCTGGTGACTCTCAGGTGGGAGTTGGGGAAGGTTCTGGAGATGACTGAGACCCTGATGTAGGCTGAATAGTTAGGATGGATATATGATTGTTTGCAAAGATAAATTGTAAGTTGTGTGATTTTGTCTTTTACTAATGAGTAAAGAGTGTCTGGCTGTTGAGTCAGGTCCTCTGTAAGGACAACAAATAAAACCTTGTTGAAACGTTTCGTCTTTAATCCAAAATACTTTGTCAGTTTGAGGAGCTGCATTAAACTTAGTCTTATAAACAGCCCCTTATCATAGTGGATCAACCAGTTTTGTTGTTAACAACCAAAACTATCTGTTCACATGGTAAAGGAGGACCATCAGCCTAATGGCCGATCGTTAGCGCCCTGATGGCCGCTTGCTATTCACAGATGGCTGAGTGATACTAGCGATAACAGCATTGTAAGATGGGGACAGTTCGACATGGAGGCCTCCACTCATTTAATGATGGACGGTTTCTCTTTACAAAGATGGCCTCCTTCACTCCTCTCTCAAACCAACAATTCGCTCTGTCAAGGATGTGAACATCTTTATCTCTGAAAGAGTGACCGCTGGCCTGGAAATGAGTATAAATCGCAGATTTATTTTTTTTATCCGTCCAGAGGACCTGACTTAACTTTTAGATTTTTGTTCATCTTCTCCACTTTTTTTCCACAAAGACTGCAATTTGGTGGGTCCTTCTTCTGTTGCAGTGCTTCAGTATACTTTTTAAATAGCAACAAATACCTCCACATTTCCATGCTTTATTTCTTCATTTTTAAGTTGGTCTTTTGGAAGATGGAGCTTCTCAGAAACTCATACCATGATGGCTACGCATACTTCCAAAGTCATGTTGAATTACCTATTCAAATATTGTCAAGACACTAGTGAATGACTTATTCACCTGTAAAGTGTTTGTCAGCTATTTTTAAATGTCAGTGGTTTACTAGTTTCAACCTTTTGCTGGTTTTATCCAGTACATTACTGTAAACAATGATAGGCACTTTTTGAAGTCAGGTTTTGGTGATTTCTACTGCTGTACCAATTTGATTAGAACCATATATTCCTTAATAGGAGTACCTGAGCCTTCCTTATTTACATATGAACTGTCTCTGGAAATGTTTTTCTAATGTTGATTGTGGCAAATAAACTTAAAACACACACATTTACACAGATACTGTGCTTTTTGAATCCACTTTATTTTCCATACGAGGCAGGTTTGGCAGGTATTGTCACTTTTAAAATTATTGTTTTCTGATCCAAACTATTGCATGCATTGATTACGGATATGCTTTTTCGGTCAACGGGGATGGGGGTAAGTTGAGGTGTGTGTGTTGTGTGTTGATTTTTGGATTTCAAAAAGAGGTGCATGCTTGCAGACAATTGCGTTTCAAGCACGAAAACAGTTACATCCGAAATGAGAATTATATGATTTGTTTGGACCAAGGATGTGGTTGGTTTGCTCCTATATGTTGAAAGGGCAATTGGCACAAACAGCACTCTATCTGCCATTGTGTTCATTTACCCACTTGTGTATGAATGTGATAAAGCACTGATTATTCTTTGTACGGAAATGATTCTTTGTATAGATCTAGAAGTGCTGTATGAATGAGTAAAGGCACATATTGTAATGTAAAGCACTTTGAGTATCTTGAAAAGATAGAAAAACACTATATAAGTGCAGTCCATTTACCATTTGCTTGCACCAGTTTTTACACCAATGCCAGGGGTTTCCAAAACCCTTCACTCTGAGGTCTTTCATAAAATTCGTAAATTTCAGAGGAAACGACTGCAGTTGTGTACATGAACAATCCAACCATATCAGAAATGCTTGTGTTGTGTAAACAGGGCCTTAGAGGGCAGTTGTCTGTCAACACCACTTATTTCTTAGTGTTTCTTAGGGGCGGCTGTGGCTGAGTGCTTGGAGCAGATGTCCTCCAATGCAAGAGTTGAGGGTTCAATTCCACCAGCAGTCACATGCCGAAGTGTCCCTGGGCAAGACACTGAACCCCTCATTGCCTCTGATGCGTGTCCCATCGGTGTATGAATGTGATAAAGCTCAGATTATTCTTTGTACAGATCTAGTAGAGTGCTGTATGAATGGGTAAATGAGAGCACAGGTTGTGGTGCAAAGAGCTTTGAGTGTCTTGATTAGATAGAAAGGTGCTATACAAGTACAATCCATTTACCATTTAAAGTTCTTTAACCCCCCCACCCCCCAAAAAAGAAAAAAAATGTTTTGCCCATCTTCCACCTCTCAACATGATTTTCGTTTAATTCTGCTGACAATCAAAAATTCAAACATTCCCTTCAAATACCTGGGTTTATTCAAAATACTTAAAACAAGTTGTTTTTTTCATTAGGGTTTGAACTGTTGAAACAAACCAAGATTTTGAACATCTAACGTTTGTAGATTTGGAACTATTGTGGTCATTTTTATTACATTTTATAGATTAGGGCAGGTGTGCCCAACCAGTCGCTCGCGGGCGAGCTGGTTCCCAGTCTCCCGCGAAGCGAAGCCTTGACTTGTATTCTCACAGACATAGTCTCGCGAGTTTTGTGTGCGGTGACACAGCTCTCACGAGACTTTAGGCTCAGTAGTGGAGTAATGTCGGTGCGCAGAAAACATGGATGGAAAACTAGCGAACAAGCAAACGAAAACTTATTATTTTAACACAGAGTGGGAGGAGGAGTATTTTTTTGTTTATTCTAATTCGAAGTCCATTTGCCTCATCTGTAATTCGAGCGTTGCCTTACCCAAAAAGTGTAACTTGGAGCGGCATTTCAAGACGATGCACAAACGGTTTGAGACAGATTTCCCTCTTAAAAGTTCTTTACGGACTCAGAAAGTGCGGGAGCTAAAAAACAAGCTTGCAGCCCAGCAATCAGTCTTCACTCGCCCCAGCACAAAAGGTAAAGCTGCTACGATAGCTTCCTACCGTGTTAGCCGCATCCTGGCTCAACATAAGAAGTCTTTCAGCGATGGACAAGTTATGAAAGAAGCGTTTATTGAGGCTGCAGATGCGCTTTTTCATGATTTTAAAAATAAAAGTGAGATCGTAGCTGCTATTAAAGACGTGCAGTTGTCCAGACAAACAGTGACACGGCGATGTGAGGGAATGGCTGTGGATGTGGAGGAGCAGCTAAAAAAGGACGTGGAACAATGTGAGTGTTTCTCTCTTCAGTTTGACAGACATGGTGGATGTAGCCCAGCTGTGTGTT